GAAAGGTGCCTTCATCATCTGCCCTCCCATCTTTGATTTTTAACTTATAACCCCATTCAGAAGAAATTTCCTCAAAAGTTTTTTCTTCTTCTTCTTCTTATTCTTTAGCGTTTGTTTTATTTATTTATCCATTCCATTTATCATTCCATTTATCCCGGTCGAATGCCTGATCAGGGTGGGCACCAACTATCTTTAAGTCCGCGTGCAGCGTGTCAAGCCAGCGCTGCCTAGGGCGTCCTTTAGGTCGTTTGCCGAGCACCTCAAGCTGGAGAGCAGTCTTACGGACGGTGTCCGCCTTCGCGCGAAGTACGTGGCCATACCATCGGAGACGAGATTCTCGCATCTTATCAACTATGGAAGCTACGCCGAATCTCTTGCGTATGTCATCGTTGCAAATCCGATCCATACGCGTGACACCGGCCGTCCAGCGAAGCATTTTCATCTCCATCACACTAAGACGGGCTTCGACTTCTTTGTTGCAGGCCAGCATTCAGCTTGCGCTACAACGCTACTTGCCGTCCCTGACCACATTTCTATAAATCTTCGATTTGAGGCGCTCAGGTATGGTCTTGTCGCAGAAGAATTCCAGTCATCGCGCGCCATTTCGCCTATGCCACACTCACACGAGAGTTTACCTCTGAGGTCAGATCGCCTCAAACGCAATTTCTGATCCAAGATACTTGAAGGCTCTTGTGCGTGTGAGCTCGATGCCACTGATCTTAATGGAATCGGACTCATTTGTATCCGTCGTCAAGTACTCGGTCTTCTTGATGTTCAACTTCAGTCCGAACTTTGTCAGGCGATCAGACCATGCTTGTACCTGTTGCTCAAGGTCGCTCTTATCTTCACTGGCCAGCGCCACATCATCTGCGTAGAGAAGGGTCCACGGACTCGGTTTCTGAATATCTCGTGAGATTGCATCTAAGACGACCACGAAAAGAATATGCGGGAGAGGGCTGAGCGCCTTGATCAGGGAATTCCTGCTGCAAGTGCCTGGCTGGTGTACGCACACGGCTCTTCGAGGTGGGAGTACAGGATGCGCACCCACTCTATAAGCTCTTCGGGAACGCCGTGTTGCCGCAAGGCGTGCCATATAACTTCACGCGGAACACGATCGAATGCCTTTTCTAGGTCCAGGAAAGCTAGATGCAGAGGTTTTCGCTTCTCGCGATGTCTCTCCAGCAGAAGACGCGCGGCATGTATGGCGTCGATGGTGCTACAGCCTGCCGCCACAAAGCCGGCCCACTGGCTTGCATTAGAGAGCTGGACGATTTCGCGGATACGCCTGTCAATCAATTCGCTCGAAGATTTTCATGCTGTGTGACAGCAGGCGAATTGGACGGTAGCTCGAGCATTCCGCAGGGCTGCCCTTCTTCTTCCAAATCGGAATCGTCGTGCTTTCTTGCCAGTCCCTGGGCGTCTTCTTCTCAGCAACGACCTGATTGAAGAAATCCGTCAACCATTGCGCAGGGTTCCAGCACCTTGCCTTCCATAAGTCGGCTGCTACGTCGTCAGGTCCTGTTGCTTTGCCTGACTTCATCTTTCTGAGAGCCGCTTCTGTCTTACGGTTTATTTCTGTACGCCGGACTTATTACTGCGGAGATGGAAGGCATGCGCATTAGGTGCGCATATCTTACGTTGAAAAATATTCTCAAGAGTCGTGCCATCTCCTGAGCACCCTCTTCCGCTCCATCAAAAGACGGCCATGCTCGTCGTTGACGCCAGGGAATTTCTCGATATCTTCGGTCTGACGATGCCGAGCCTTGGCAAGTCGGTAGAGGTGCCGCTCTCCATCGCGTGAATCTAGTTCCTTACTGACATCTTTGAACTGGGCGGCCTTCGCTGCAGCCACAGCCTTCTTTGCTGCATTCTTCGCTTCTTTGTACTTACGCCAGTCTACTAGCTGACTTGTCGTTTTTAGCAACGCTGTGGGCGTAGCGTATACTCTTCTTCTTCTCGCGCAACCGTTTCTATTGACATAATAGTCCTGTCCTATAACCACGGCTGGCCTATCAATTCTGCGCTCGTCTCCATCGACAGTCGCATTTGACGTTGCGGAAGTCTGATACGAGAGATTACAGCTGCCTCCTTTTCTTTCAAACGCCACCATTTGATCCTCTCGGGACCACATCGCTCGACCCGTCTCGAACTGAGCCTTGCGATCTTTAGCGTGCAAATCAGTGGGCGATGCTGCGTGGCAACTGTCTCGTACGGCACAGTCTTCGCATCCGTGATGAGCCCTTGGTCGCGGTGTCTAACAAGAACGAAGTCGATCTGCGTTCTGGAACCTCCACTGTAGAAGCTGATCAGGTGGGAATCACGCTTACGAAACCTTGTATTCGCGATGACTAGGTTATGGGCTTCCGCATACTCAAGGATTCGCTCCCCATCAGCGTTACGTGATCCATAACCGAAACCACCATGACACCTGTACCCGTCTTTCCGTAGACGAGTTGACTTTAGCGACCGTTTTGGATTTGATTGTTAAATACTGAAGGGAAGAACTCACTCTGTCTTAGGAACTGCTCCGTTTAAATTTCCATGAGTTTCGCCGCTCAATTCGGAAATTGATGCACATCGAGAATTTATGACGCATGGCCGCAATGGCGACACAATGGGTCAACCGTGACGGCGCGGAAAAGTACGACTGTCCTCTCCGTCTACTTCCAGACCTTGAATGAAAAACATTGGTCCTACTGCCGGAATGTCGACTCGAGGGTGGTCTCAAGGAGCGGACTGTGTTACGGTAAGGGCCCCTCCTCAAGTTGACCTGGTTTGCCTTTCAAACCCGGAGACGTTTGACCAGGCAGTCATGAAATGCTTTTACACTTTGGAACTCTGAGGCTGAGGAAGGGCGATCCTGACAAAACGTAGGTCAATGAGGCTGAATTACCAGCCTGTAGGGTTCTAAGTTCCCCTACAAAGAGCCACTTATCTGTTCCAGAAGTTGCTCGTCATTTTGCTTTTGAAGAAGGCAATATCAAACTTACTATAAATTTTACATCGAATACTATGAGGCCGAACATGATGAGTGCAAATGTTACAATGAAGCACCCACTACCGCGATATGAAGTGGACAAATGATCATCGCTATCAAATCAATGTTCTTCGCGTCTGGTATTCCAGAAAGTCGGGAGACGGGCAAGAGAACCGTGACTCGCCGCTTCGTCGCGCGCGGCAATGGGTGCGACGTTTCCTCAATTTGCACTACCCTTTCGATTGGAGCATCGGATTTCATGTAGACAAGGACATGGTAGACACTTATGCCTCTTCCTGACCACACATTGTCTAGTCTCGACCAATACCACCTACAATGGTCATCATTAGTGGGCGCAGTGTCGCACGCGACGCCTACTAGATTTTACGATTGCTTGCCCCATACCAAAAGAAAGTCATGACCATTCCATAATTTCGATTTTGTTCCAAGTGTCAATCAACGATTTTGCACCATCTTAGTGAGTGCCGTGAAGCCGATGGCCAAGCAAAGGGTGGTCGAGCAGAGAGTGCCCCTGCCTGCAGAAGCTCTCCCCGTTACATGCGTCAATAACTGCGCACCATTTTTCGAGGTAGCTTCTGGCAATGTGTTTCTACCTGGGAGAGGGGGCTGTTGAGGAACAAAAAAAGTGGGTCCATCAGGAAATAAAATCAGCACTCCATGTTGGGTGCAGTAGAAATACCCAAGCGAGCTTCACGATTCCAAGATGACAACGTGTAGGTTAAGTCTGGCTCGTCATGGTCCAGATACACTGTGACGAGTTGTGGGGACAAAGCGTAAAGTTTTTCCAGCAAACTTTGCCAGACCAGATGTTTCGTATAGGAACGGAGGCTGCGGAGGTCAGAGCACATCATAAGTTGGGGATACTCGGCGAGGGGATCGCATATGGTCGCTGTGAGGGAAATTGGGGGAATTTAGGGGATGGTGGGTGGAGTGAGAGGTGGGAAAGGGAAGGGGGTATTAAAAGAGCCAGAATCCAGAGAGAGGAGGGTCGTATCTTGTCACTTTTTCCCAACGGCACTGCACGCCCTAGCAGAGGAATGTGAATGTGCTAATGATTACTTTGCGTGCTAAACTGAGCATAGACCACAAGTTTGGCAACTGAAAGGTCTGGCCCGAGATTCAGGAAATGGTCACGAGTTTTTGAAACTCCCATAGAAGCGTAGTAGGTGAGCTATGCTCCGAAATGGCCCATTAAGCGGACACAAAAAACGGTTAGCGTTAGTTTGGGAAGATTTGACAAGATGGTAAGTAGGATGGGGAAGTGGACGAGTCGTACTAAATAGAAAATTTGGGGCAGGGGAGAAGTATACTGCGAAAATTGACCCCAAGACATGCTCCGATTGTTTACCATAGCTGATATCGCCTACCGCAGTAAATTAACGATACCCTCATGCAGCCAGAAATCTGAGCCACACTGTGTGATCCCAAGTCAAAGGTAATGGGACGCCCCGTTTCAAAGACGGATGCTTCGAAGCTGATAAATCATTACAGGGAAAATAATTTTTTGCACCTCGAATTGGCTGAACAAGATACCCTCGAAAATCGTTTTTGTGCGAGCAGTGGGACACTCTGTGCAGGTGGCTTGGTCATCCGGGATCCTGTCACATTGACCACTCCACTCTACATAATACAGGTAATACCGGTCGCCTTAACTGCTGTCCCAGAAGGACCACCACCTGTGCGGCGCACCCTGGGGAGTTTTTCAGAGAAAATACGGGATAAATAAAGGCGGATTTCAGCTAAAATATCCAAGGAGCCTATGGGAGTTGGGTCAGGTCAAACGCTTAATTTTCCTCAATGGCTACTGGCGTTGAAGACTTCTTCTCCATGTCAGCGTAAAAGGCTCCCTCCCGGGCACAGAATTCTCCCTTTTCCGAACATCCAAAAAGAGAAACCACGGATGTCTGACAAAGTAATGATTTTATACGAAAACAAGGGGTGAAACAACTTCCACTCAACAACAACATTAACAACCAGAACAACAATTAGTGAAATCTAACAATTATATTTTAAAATTCCTTAACGGATCCTTTTTCTGACGGTTATGAACCTTTTGATTGGTAGACTTTCCTTGAAGTTTACGCCGATGCTTTTGACCGGGTTTCGACTTTTTCTTCCTATTGATCTGGTAGTTGATTCCACGTAAGGACTTGGGCACTGAAAACGGTACCCATAAAATGGTAGAGCTTGTCATTTTAACTGAGGCAGGGCACACTGGTAATATTGGTTGGGACTGGCATTCAAATGAACTCTTGCGAAAAACGATTAACGTCATTCAGAATTACTGGCGCAGTCCGGGTTGGTGGGGGCGCCAAATGGTACTTAGCGAAGCCGGTTTCGGCCACCTTGTGAAGGCCTATAAGTTCGTGTGATCAAAAAGGCTCACCTATACTTTTGCAGCTTCACAGGAGTCTAAAGGTCTCACCAACGTGTAACCTGTTAATCACGTAAACTGGCATAAGGAACCAGGTAAAGTGCAAAATGCCCCTTCCAAATCGAATAGCGCCGAATCACTGAGTTGGATTCATCAACCACAGAACTCCTGCCCCCCCCCCCCCTTAGGGCTATTCAAAAGCTATCATCACCATTACGGCAATCTTTGTTTTGCGCAAGAGTTTTTTTATGCCCCCTCTAAGGCTAGGGCTCAAAACCGCAAACGTACCCATGTACTCCGGGACATCAGCGATGGCGTTGGTGTGTACTGCAAGCGTGGTAGGACGTGTGCTTGTCTCCATTAATATCTTTTCTCTGGGATTGCTTGCAAAGAATGACTGCAACTTTGCCGACCTCATCATCTGTAATCAAGCCCTTTATGCTGCGAAATCTCAAAGCTAACATTTTCTGTAAACTAGGAGCGAAACGCATAACAATAGCTAAAGCAAAGCAAAACTCTACTCTCTCCGATACGGATGTAGCTGAGAAGTGGGGGAGCGGCAATAATTGAAACATATTGCAAGCTCCGCGCGCCCCTAGGCAGAGGTGTCATGTTAGTTGGGGATCATCAGACTACCACCACCTCGGTGGAAGGGCCCTGACAAATAGAAAACGACCGAAGGCATCTTGCTCGAAGCACCCAAGTTTCTATGGGAAATGTAAGAATAGAGCGGGAAATTTTTCTTTGGCATAATGCTATTGGAATGGGGGGGGGGGGGTGGGGAGAACCGGAGAGAACTATACCACACCCTTCTCTGTTAGTATGTGGCTTCCTCTCGAGACAGTGACTCCCCCACCGCCAACAGCCATAGCCTTAGAGAGCACAGGCGGCTAGAGTGGATGCTGTCTAACCGCCGCATCTCCTCCTCTTTCTCAGCTTCACTTCATCTACAGTATCCTTTCCGTTTTCTTGTGTTCGTCTGTCAAGGCAATGACCCTCTCTCCAACAGCAGCAAGCTTAGAAAACACAGACGTCTAGAGTAGACGCTGTTCAATTCCGCCGTCCCCCCCCCTTTTTTTCAACTTCATTTTATCTACAGTAATACCGGGACAATTGTATTCTACGAAATCAGAAAACCCAGGTGAACTCCTCAGATATCGAAACAGTAAAAACGCGTTCATACATCGCGATCCAAGTGTTTGAATTCTGCCGCTGCGACGACTCACTGGTTAGCGGTGGAGCGCTCTCGATCGCTTGGATCGCGCGACTCAATCGCTCGAGCAATTCGATCGCAAAGTATGAACGCGCTTTAATTAATCAAAGTCCCGCCGTTGTAAGTCATCACTCGGATTCAATGACCTACCTCCAGTTTTATTTCCTGCATTCTCGCCGCTTTGATCACTGTTTTGCCACATTTTGAAAGCACTTCCTAAAAAATTCCGATCACTGGATAAGAAGGATTCAAAAATTTTGAAGTAATCGTTCAAAAGCTCACCTTCACCCTCAGCACAAATGAATCCAGCTCGCTGATACGAATTTCATACGGGATTATTACTTTCCGACCCACTGAAAAGAAAAAAAAACATGTCAAATGGCCGAAGACTCGGGTAGACACGATGAAGAACCTGGAACCTACTCTGGGTATTGATCTCCTCCTGGACTGTGTCTAAGTAAGGCCGTTCAGGTGGTGTGCAGAAGGACAATGCAGTGCCTTTATTGCGCCCTCTGGCTGTTCTAAAACATTTTTTAACAGAGCAGTCAAAATGTACGCGAATCCCCTTACCAGGTGACTTTGAGGCCAAATCACAAACCTTCCTACTCGATGAATGTAGTTATCAGTAGATGTGGGGAAATCCAGATTGACAACATTTCCCACTTGATGGAAATCGATTCCGCGGGAAACGCCCGATTCTTTGTCGCGCCGTGACGGCTGAAAATGGACCAAATATAATTTTTTATGGGCAGATCAATTACTAGAACTCATTGGTCCGGCTCACAGGATGTCACATCTCTGTTCTCATATAGTAACTGCTCAAAAATACATTTTATGAACGTCGTTATTCCTATCAGGGCACTTCCTATCACTGGGTAAATTTTTGCAGAAATGCACCCTGCCCCCTGTTTCCACATCCAGTACATCCTCCTTCCCTTATGCTAGCTGCGATCTTTCTAAATATGCACACCCGCAAAAATTTCCATAACTTCCCTAAACTTTTTCCAAAGAATTTTCCAGGGTTCCACCAAAACTGCCGTCGAGCAGGGGGGCGGGAAGGGGGTTGTCGCCATTCTTAAGTCCAGATACGTCTCACCCTCAACCTCCCTTAATGGAGTCCCCTAGTGTTGTGGAACGGGAAAAAATCAGTGGTGGAGAAATTTCCTAATGCCAAAGACGATGCCCTACTTTAGCGACCAAATACGACCACCACTTCAGGACTTTATCCAAGCGCTCACCTGATTTTCTTGCGATGTCGTTATTACTCTTCTATCTGCTCGCTTTAATTCTGGACCCGCCGCCATCCTCTTCATTTCCTTCTGAGGGAGGGGAGGAGGATGGCCTCACTCAACGCTCGCGCACACACGCCTCTTTTTTTTCCCTTACCAAATTTTGATACTATGATAAGAATGCGAACTATCCCTGAGCCTCGTGCATCTCATAATGTCTCCTTCAACAAAATTCAATGATATACAAATTTCTACAGGTGAGCTGTTGCCGCTGTCGCGCTAAACTGCTTCATTCACCACGACCTGGAGCTAAAGTTTCGCTCAAAGGTCAGAGCGACACCTTCAACTGCAAACTCCTTGCACTGGACGGGTGCCGCTCCTCGACCTTTCAGCTAACTTTAATTGTCTTAGGCTCGCGACCTTAGCACACTTTGATTGCTATGCAAGGACTCCACCCCTGGTCTGAAGAGAGGTGTTACCACTAGCGAAAGCTACCATGAAATTGTGTTTGCAGTACTCATTGAATTTTGTCTGAAGAGTGGGTAGCTTCTCCTAATTTTTTGAAATCACAAAGCGCATTTAGTGACGAGCGACATAGAGTGTACGAGCGGCAGAGGATAAGTGGGCCACGCGCTAAACTCTCCCCTCACTTTGCAGGCTTGATGCCAACTTTTCGCTATGAGCCTATCGCGAACGGGTACAGCTTTGACAGTTGTTGCGGGGAAATGACACAAAACACGCTGAATGCGGAATGTGTACTTCAACGGGCGTGGTGGGGGGGGGGGGCTGGAACGGGTAAGTCGCTTATCTTAGGCAGAAAGTTGGAATGTGCGAGTGACAACAGTCAAGAGACGCTATTCTGGCCGAGGAGAGCCCAGGCCAAAGCAGAAAATTTGTTGTGGTGGAAAAGACCGAGAAAGGATGAGAATGATTAAATCACCTCTTTTGGTTTAGGAGCATCAGAAGCGTCGTTATCGAAGGCATCTGTGGCATCAGACGCTATGACGATGTCGAATGCGCCATTATTGTATTGATTGATCACATGGAATCGTGAATTTGCTGGCATACAAGAGTTCAAAATACCAGATTTCAATCCAAAGGAGCGCAACACGAGCGATGTCCTGAAAAATCAGAGGCAGGTTTATCACAAAGTTGACCAGTCACCTTTTTCAAGATTTCAACATTTTCTACTCTAGAATTCGTAAGTGCACAGCTCCTGGACCCGCTGCCCAACACCAGCTTTTGATAACAGGTCGAAGAACCGTGCGGGGGCTGTTCCAGGTGGGGGAGGGGAAGGTGCGCGACAGCACGACTAAATTCCGCGTCTCTACGCCTCAAGACAAGACCACGTGTGCTTGCGGCGCTTGCTTACCTCTTCCGCTAAGCCTTGGGAGGATAAACGATCATTTCGTCGTGCCGCTGCGTGCCACTTACCTGTGGTAGCACCCAGGTTGATACAAGGGTAGAAAAGTAACCAATTTGAGAATCCACGAGTCAGAGGACTGATGGCGTTGTCATGAACGGAGCGATTTCAGTAAGAGGAGGGGGATTTCGGAGCCGAAAATCCACGATATTCAAAACAGCAAACAGGCGTTCTTCTTGAAAGAAACGATTATGAGTCGAGAGAATAGAGTTTATGCCCAAAAACTGGAGAACTCCGGAGTAAGCGAAGCACATCTAAGAACGAGTTCATACGTCGCGATTCGATCGCTTGTGTTGCGCCAGCGGATCGCGATGTACAAGCGTGCTCTGACTGACATGATAAGCTTTTTTGCGCGAGGGATTGTTTAACCCACACCAGAGCTTATTCCTTTGGACTTCATGAAAAATTCTCATTCACTGGCCCACAATCCTTTCAACGCACCATGTCGCCCTTCACTTGAAGAAAAGAAATGGAAGAAATAGCGAGAGAACAAAGCCAATAACGCTTCGCAGCTTTAGAGAACTATTGTGTAAAATTCGGATTAACTATGGCACCGAAATGTTTCATCACTATGGTGACTGGGACCTTGGCAATTCGGCCTGGTGGGAGCATTTTGCTAGATCCCATCAATCACTCTTGCTGCTCTCTGCTGGAAACCAGTGGATTTCTGTAAAACTATGCAACAGCATTAGCTTCGTTTACACTTCTTTAGAATCCACAAGTCTCGACAAGATGAGACCAGTAGTCCAGCAGTTACCAGCAAAAGAAACCACAGCAAGAGCAAAATGCCTTTCGCAAACAGAGCAGTGGCGGGCCTTGTAAGTCAGAAATGATACTATACCTGAAAAGAAAAACTCACATATAACATAAAGCAGAGAGATTCATGAAAATACTGTCAAAAAAACGCCTGAAGTTATGTGTTGTATCAATTACTTGAAATCCTATTTTCCACTATTACCTCTTAAGGAAACAACTTGAGGGACTAAAGAAAGCCAAGCTCGATGTGGTCACTCCAGAAGTTGGTGCAAAAACATTCAATGATTTCGAAATTGACGAAAGATTGCTCAAGGTGGGCTCAGTAAGAGTAGTCCGTCTATTTTTATTAGGGATAAAGAACCCGTTTTCAATCACTTTGTCGCAGGCAATCGGTAATATGGGTTGGAAATGGCCGACGCAAGTACAGGAATCCCATCTTGTCTCGCATTCCGAGATCTAAAAATATACTGGCGAGAGGCCGAACGGGAAGCCGGCAAGGGACTACGGAGCCTATTGATTCCTATTTATTAAAGCAAGGGCCTATTGGCTAGGTTGCAGTGAGCTATTCTACTCACACTGCCATGACTCGTTCAATGTTTGGCAACATTTAGACCGTTTCCGGTGAGTCAAAAGGGCCGTTCGCGCTGTTCATTGCACCTACGAAAGAGCTTTGCGTACAGGTAAGGGGAGATGACTGTAATAAGTTTTGAGAGTATTTTGTAAATAATCTATTAATAAATCAATAGATTATATCTATAAGTACCTATTAATCTATTAGTAGATTGTCTTAGAATATCTATTTAAGATCAACGACTTGCTGCTAAAATTGCTTCAACCGTTGCCGTTCTTGCGATCTCTGAACTTGGCTGACTTGACTTCAGACGAACGATCTGTTTGGGAAAACGTGAGCTTCTTTTAAGTTTGCTGGTAGATTGTGCAATCAGATTTCCTCAAAAGTGCGCGTTCATACTTTGCATAAGCGTTTTGAGCGACTAAGAAAGTGCGGGTATCGATTATCGCCGAAAACGCTGGCGAACGCCCTGAAGGCTGGTCGATACCTCTCGCTCGCAACACTGCCGCAAACTATGGACGCGCTATTACTGTTATTCCCTCCATTTGTAACCGCAAAGCCGCGTTCTTCTTTGCGAATGTGAAGTGTGTGTGCGAGATGGAAAAAAGTGGGGAGTATGCCAGACAAGGGAAGTGCGGGCGGAATGCTGCTTTACTGGCGTTGCGAAAAAAGTGAGAATCGACAATAAAGGTCGACTGGCTACTCTCGCTAGGGTTTTCGGAGAATGTGCGCTTCAGAAAAAGACACGATTCAGAGGAATTCGGGCACGATGGGGGGTGGAACAATGGGTTCCCCACATATATTCCCCTACGGGCCTGCCTTTCATGCTCATCAGGCGTTTTGAGCACACAGAAAACCTCTGGAGGATTTCGTTTGCGAGTGGGGCACGGCCAGCACTATCCACGCGACTGCCCGCGAAAAGTTCGAGACAACTCATGACATTATCAAAACAGTAGCATACACTCAAAACGCTGGCTCAATACATCTCCTAGTCGCTTAAAAGCTCGAAACGCGAAGCAAAGCATAAACGCATTTTTATTCGAATCGTGGAATATTCAGACTGATAACTGCACTTTCTTGTCATGCTTTCTCCCATATCGCGGCTTCTGCGCATTCGCCAAGTATTTCAAGTGAAGTTTTCATCAGGACACTGCCAACTTTGTCGTGTCAACTCCTGGGAAGATACTTGAAGTGTTGGCCGTACGCCGACATTTTTGTGAAGACGTTCGCCATCTGGTTCTCGACGAAGCCGACCTTCTATTATCCTTTGGTTACGAAGACGAAATGAGGTATGCATAAACATGAACAAGTAAGCAACCTTGTTTATAAACAAATGCAAATGGTAAACGTTCAGTTCCTTGAAAAAATTTCTCCCAGTGAAGTACCAGTGCATATTGACATCAGCCACTATCACAGACGATATGAGCACGTTAAAGACCCTCTTTATGACGGGGCCTGTTCTTACGCTCAAATTGAAGGTCAGTTCAGTGCACATAATTTGCATAAGAGCGCGTTCATACTTCAATCCGATCGCTTGGATAGCGCGATCGCATAGGGAAGTATGAACACGTTCTAATCTTTTGTTCTACTGCGACTTATTATTGAGTAAGAACGAATTTATGTGTAGGAAGGAGATCTCCCAGATGTGGACCAATTGACACAGTACCAGATAACATGCCTGGACGATAACGAACGATTTGCAATACTTGTTGCGATGTTTAAATTACGGCTAATTGTTGGCAAAACTATCATATTCGTTAATGATACCAATAGC